ATGGAAATTTCACGACAACATTATGCGAATATTAAGAAATCTTATTTCTCTAAATTTAAAGTTTATTATTTATTATATTTAAAATTTATCTGGATAAAATCGCCAAAATAAGTATGGATTTTAGGAGGATTATTTAAACGAGAACTTTTCAAAAATTCTTTCTATAGTTAAGAAAGTATCTAGTTACATAGATTTACTCGTATTTGTTTCGCTGTTGTTTCTCGAATGAAACAAATAAATGATTATCGAAGACCTAGACGGCTGAATTGAGGCCTTCCAAATATAACTCTATTAGACACGGTTTTCTGCTATCTGCAACAACCGACTGCACATATTGCGTTTAGTATTTCGTAGTCGCTTCGCTACTTAAGATCATTTCTTCTGTGGAAACTCAGAGCTCGCAAATAAACAATTTCAAAATAAACAGCTGTTATTTTACATTTAGTTGTCGGTGAGCGGCGTATGTGTTTTTCGCCTAACTAAGAAGCACTACCGTATCACACATCATTGCCAGTCTAAAAGGCAATTCATTAACATTCCTAGGTATATGGAGTGGCGTTGAAAAATAAACCCTATTTTCTACAAATTTACACACAAAGTCTCCAAGTTTCTATTGGAAATTCAGTCGATTCTCGGGACTAGAACGATTTCTAACTACTATCAAGTCTCAGGTTTCTCTTGGAAAATGTAGGTAAATTAAGAGCCTTAATATATTGAAAATACCGTACCGTTTAAGAAGTCACGGTGCCATCTACTATGGTAATGAACGTTTGCACAACTGAGATTCAAGGTCAACTTGCACTTGTACACACTATTTATTACTTGACCGTACTTTTTAGTTTCTTCGATTCGCAAATTACTTCATTGCTTTCTTAATTCATGTTGATATTGGGAGTTAAAATAATGAAGAAGTAACGTATGTTGAATTTTGTAACAAACCGTTTGCTTAGGTTAAAAATAGTAAAGGAATTAAATGAAATTCCGTAAGTTTGTGTCATGAAATTTTTACATTTTAATTTATGTTTTGTCGTACGTATATACACATGAGTCAAGAACATTACGTGTCTATTATGTACATAATATAGTAAAACAAATAACTTTGCAATTGTTTATGTATACCTGTAATAAATTATATATGTGGTTTAGTGTGTGTTCCTACCACTTTGGGAAATACGTAGTTTTATGTATTGTCATATCATAACACTTCACATCATTGTGATACACTCAAAGTTCGAAATTTTGCTATTTATTATAAAGTGTCGAACAGTTCCTTGTAAGCTTATCTCCTGTATCATGTGTATATGTAGTTACCTGCTTGTGTACCAATGCAAGTTTTCTTGAAATCCGCCTTCGATCCTAGAGCTTTGTTCCGGTCATACAAGATTCTACAAGATAACTTGTCTATTGACTTCTAGGTTATCAATGGATAAGCAAACTACAGGAATTCTTGTTGTTTGCTTTTCGAAATATTAGATAAGTAACCTCGACTTGAACTGTCTTTTGTTTCATGTGTCCAAAAAAGAGACAAGTGAACATCGATAAATATTTTAATAATTCTTTGGAATTTCATAATATTTATCGATGTTGATGTTAATGAATTATGGATAAAAATCGTGGTAGTCTAACGGTTTGACCTACCATCTCGCAAACAGAGACCGCGTGGGTTCGAATCTGGGCTCGAATCTTTTAGTTTCTCGGATTATAATTGCGAAATTTAATTTGAAATTTACCACGAGCTTTTCGGTGAAGGAAGACGTGATGAAATGTGCACGTCGAAGAGGTTCACAACCCTCGGAAAACGTGTAAAGTCCACAACCCGCATAAGGCCAGCGTGGCGGAATATGACTTAAACCCTCGCCTTAGAGGAGACCCGTGCTCAGCAGCGGGACGTGTGTATGGGTTGATGATGATATAGATGATTTGAAATATATTCTGAAAGTACGCATGTATATGTGTCACAAGCAAGTAGTCAAACTTTATTTAATTGACTTTAAAAGTATGTTTACCATTTCCTAGTTTGTAACATTGTAATCTGTACGAACTCATCGTTGTTCTCCGAAGACTTTGCCTGTTGTTATACATAACAATAGGCAAATTGTTACACAAACAAACAATATATTCAGAGTACTAAGGTTCATATTAGCATAGAATTTATAAAGGAATTAAAAAATATATGTAATGGCTAATTCAATGAAAAGTACCTAATTGTTCAAAAGTATATAAGTGCTAGGAACTTGCTCGCGCTAGAGAGGTGGAGCTCAAGGCAGTTTTTGCAACTTGTTTTAAACAAATTCAAGGAAAATAGCTTCTCTTCTTTATATTACTCCATGATCTGTATATATTAATGGCCATAAAGACTTTACTAAAGAGTATATAGCCGTGATAGCTTAACGGTTTCATCTACCGCCCCTTAAGTAAATGGTCGTGGATTTGAAATCGGGATTGCACCTCTGGAGTTTTTCGGAATTTATGTGCGAAGTTGAATAATTTTTTAAAATAATATTAAGTGACGGGACGAATAAGTCGTGCATCTGATGGTAAGCTACACGCCTATCCATAACAGGTGCAGAGCCACTACGAGCTTTATATCGCAAAGATCTGAGGGCACTGCCACTGCGCCGCCACCTTGAGATGTAAGTTGACAAGTCCCATGTGCCTGTAATTTTACCATGTACAGGGTTCCTCACGATGATTTCCTTGACCTTTCACACATTTACAAAGCATTTTAATGATGTATGTAAAGTTCCCAATCTCATTGTGAGAGGAGGCTCGTGCTCAGTAATGAGACTTTACATAGGTTAACTAAAAAAAACAAAAGTTTAAATTTAAACATTCTGAATTTGTATTTAAAAACTAAAATTCATAATTTTGAATTCAAAATTCAAACTTCGAAATTAAGAATAAGATTGCATTATAATCTCAGTACAGAGCACTAAAAACCGACCTCAAAAGCCATTAATCCCCTAGTTTGCCACCCTTGGAGATGGAATATTTTCTTCAAATTTAAACGGAACTACTACTGAGTTACCTTCTTTCCAACAAAAGATGAATCATCAAAATCCGTTCACAAATGTTATCGCGTAATACACATACAAAAAGAAACAAAACATACAATCGAATTGAGAACCTCCTCCTTTTTTGAAGTCGGTTGAAAGTATGAGACTACTTATTCCTCTTTTGCATTTTGAAGCACTTTTAGCCAATGTTTATAGAACTTATTACAGTTTTATAATTAAAGACTCTAATACATATTATAGAGGTAGAAACAAGAATTTTGAACTATTAATTTCAATAATAATAGTGAATACGAAGGATATGCAAAGGTATGTTTTTAAAAGTTGCACATTTGTAAGTGTATTTATTTGTTTACTTTTTTCTGAAATAAATGTATACTTTTTTAAAAAGGTGTCATGATTACGTATTTTTAAACACAACACAGAAATTTATTTTTGAAATATCTAATAATATATACATATTATTCCAAAATGTACACCGTTAAGGAGTCTGTCTGCCATTTCGATAATCAAATCAGCTCTAGGTCACCATAACATTTTATTTTCATTGGAATTACAATTAACTACGTGGCAAGTTACATTGAAAACGGTTAACGGCAAATGGGTGAAATTTAATAAACCAGAATCATATCCTAATTTGCCACACTTAGAGGTGGAATGTTTTGTTCGAATTTGAACGGGACCACTACAGAAGTACCTCTTTTCCAATAAAAATCATCGAAATCAGTTCACAAATCTCCTCCTCCTCCTCAAATCCTTATCATAACTAACGCAATCGTATTTTCAAAAAAACTGAGTTATTAACATATCTGGAATTAACAAATCGAGATCTACAACCCTCTACAAGCGATTTTTTTAATATCTTATTTAGTTTAAATTTTGTTGTTAGGCAAAATCAGCTAGAATGACATTTTTTTAAAGAAAAAAACTGTACGTACTGATATCTCAAAAGTTACCAAAATGCAAATGCGTTAGTTATGACAAGGAAGGTAGATTAATGTCGGAGTAATGGCGTAACAGACACAAAGAAAAATTACTGTCGACTTGAGAATTTCCTCCTTTTTTGAAGTCGTTTAAAAAAGGAAAATTAACGTTAAAACGTTAATTAAACATTATTGTTTATTCATAATATATTTACAAAATATTAAGTATATTAGAAAAATCTTGTAGAAAGAATAATATTTTTTATGCATTGACACTTATTGTGATCTTCCGACATCTGAAATTTTAATACGTTTGTTGTTGTTATTTCTCACTCAGTTATTGTTAGTTTATCTCGTATTGTCTTATTGCTTTCTTCAGATACGTTGGTAAAGTAAGGGTGAAATACATTAATCCAATAGCTGAATCCTGTGTCCAATGATTAATAAACCAGGAAACAGAATCCTCTAATAGATTGGAAATCGTGACCCGGGATCCACCTACTGGACAAATGTAAATTAAAAAAAGATACATTGTCAAAGTTAAACTCAAAGTCAAAGATCATTTATTCCATAGGTAAAATAAATTAACACTTGAAAACGTCACATTTAAGCTACTGCTCGTTCACTACGCTGACCTCCCTGAGAAGAACGAGCAAGAAATTCTAGGGATTGCTCTTTTCAAAATAAACTTAATTGCTATGGAATATACTTTGAATCAAATTTGTGTGGATTCTGGAGCTGTGTCGACTTTCCATAATTCTTTATCTAAGACGTAGTCTTCAATTTTGTAATATGACTTTTCGATCAAAATATTTTTAACGTAGTTTTTAAACTTAGGAAATGATAAACTTAATATATGCTCCGGAATCTTATTGTAAAAACGTATGCAGTTCCCCATAAAAGAGTTGTTTACCTTGGTTAAACGAAATCGTGGTACCATGAGTTTCGACTTAGCTCTAAGGTTAATATTATGGATATCTTCTTTCTTATTGAAATTATGTATATTTTTGTATATTGTTATATATATACGTATATTGAGTAATTGTTATTTTGTTTTGTGCAGATAACTAGTGATGTGCTGATATGCCGATCGCAGCTATTTCCCGTGAATCTCCTCCTGCGTCTCCTCCTCTTCACACCACTTATGAGGAGGCTCTTGCTACCGTGAGTACTTTTTTTTACAAAACAGTGCTTGTAGCGACATCTTGCAAGAATTAAAGAATACCAAACGGGAGGGAATATTTGAAAAGCATGAGGAGTAGTTGAGATTAAAGTGATTTGTTATATAAATAAAGATTTTTCCACACCGTACGGATACGGTTCACAAATGGTACACTATAAATGTTTGTAAAATAATTGCATTTATACGATTTCATATTATGTAATTTTTAAAGAAAGTATAAAACTATGGAAACACATTACTGTAACTTGTAGCAGAAGAGCTCCTTGTGATAGAATATGTCTAGGAAAGTACTGCCACCTTACCTATTTCTGCCGCCGAGCAGTAATGTGAGCGTTTCGGTCTTGAACTGTAAGGGTGCTGGTGAAATTACAGGCATAATACTAATACATACTTTTCAATTTATGTCTCAGGGTGACGGGGGCAGTGATAGTGTCTCTCAGATCTTTGCAATTTAAACTCTGAGTAGCATTGGAACTGTTATGGCGCACAACTTGTTCTTCTGCTACCTATTCTTCTTCTTATCATATCGATGGCATACACAAAATTATTGTGACCCAGAAGTTATTGCTGAAGTGTGAATATGGTTGCAATCGCGAAAGAAATTGCCAATCGGCGTAAGGTACGCGCTGATTTTTGCCAAGGGTGCGCCAGGACATGAGTACGCCATTACGAGAAGGCTCCTTTCATGCACGGCGCCCGCTACCATGCGTTTTATGTTACTCTACATTTGATTTCGTGTTACCTATTGAAAACTTAGAAGCAGTAACTTAGTACTTTTAGTAGCAGTAGAGCTCCTTGTGAACCTTACATTCCTGCCGCCAAGCAGTAATAGCATTACAACGTTTCGGTTTTAAAGGGTAAGGGTGCTGGTGAAATTACAGGCACATGGGACTTGTTAACTTATGTCTCAGAGTGACGGGTGCCCCTCAGAACTTTGCGATTTAAAGCTCTGAGTGGCACTGCAACTGTTATGGACAGGCGTGTAGCTTTTCATCAGGCGCACGATTTCTTCGTCCCGTCACTTGATTAAAAAAAAAAGAACTTTATGGATCATGTCTTATTTTACGGAAATTCGTTTTATATTCGCGAACATACATACTTTCATTTCGAAATGTGATGTCAGGAATCCTCTATTTTTGAGAAAATCCGTTTTACACGATTCAACGACGACACACACATTGCAAAACGGTAAAGTCGTTAGAATGTAAATGCCATCAAAATTATTTTACAATACGCGAAGGGACACGTAGGCGTAAATAGCTTGGGACATTCACAAATCCGTTGCTCAATATGGCAATCGTCTCGCGTCCAAACTTCGCTTGGATTAAGGGTTTCATAAATCAATATTTGCAATAAATCTATTTGTCTTAAGTGGTGATCTATTTTAGCTTAGTGCTTTATGAAGCAATCAATACCAAAAATTAGTACCCATGATTTATAGAGAGGGGTATCTGTAAAGTACTTACAACCTCGTAACACTATATTCCGTAAATCTTAAACAATAACTTTTGTCCCATGACTTTTTAACAAAAATAAACTTCTAAGTTTTTTTTGTACTATTCGACACTAATATTGGGTGGCCGCAGTGGAGGTGTAGTAAAAACGAGAAAATATATAGATAATAGTTATTATTTATTTTATTTATTTATTCATATTAAAATTCCACCATAAATTTCTTACCTAAAGGAATTTAAAGAACGATCGTTGACCTGTCAGTACCTGCACAGTTGTTCGCATACCTGGATACCTGGAAAGGCAAATCTGATGAATTAATTAACAGTCATGGAACAAAAGTTATTGTTTATTATGTTAGTAATCTAGCCCTGGGAAGTTGTTAGTATTTTACAAAACTAACCCTTTGTAATAATCTACTAAGGCTCCGTGTACTTAAAATTGTACATAATATGTGAAGTGATTCAGACCCAGATAATATTATATAATCGTCCAATGTAAATTATAATGAAAACGTCGTATTCAAATTTAGCGCTATATATTGCATATTTGGTGGTGGTGTTCTTCTTTGAAATGTTAATTTTCTCTCGCGAAGTTTGACTATTACGTTGTGATATCGGTGGAAATCAGCGCCTCTGTTGACTGCCGCAATGACGAATCTCCAACTCAGTGGACGACGCGACGTATGCCAATATTCAATGTCATTGAGCGTTCTCCGTATGATGGTATGGTGGACCCATTGGCGGTGTATAAGTGGTTACTCGGAGATTTTCTCTCGTCTCTCGCGCGTGCTCGCAGAGCGGAGACTTTAACCCCTGTGTCGATAAGAAAACGCAGGCCTGATGTCGTATCCATGATAAATAGATGATAAGATATTTCGTCGACCGCTGCCCCGTCGTAGTTTCAGTTTTCATTAGTTTTCCGAATAATATTTCTTATCAAAGTTGCTACGGTAGTAGCAAGTTGCGTGCTGCGATGATCGTGGTGCCGTGTTGGAGAGGAAACGGCTTCTAGAACGTGGGCGATGAAAGTTGCGTTGTCTACTATATAGCGTATCTAGAAAAGTACTGTTTTCATACAAAACAGAGGGTATACTTGCTTAAGGCAGAAGTATATAATTATATTTAGTATATTTTACTATACGCACATCAAAAGTGATTCTAATCTAGGGATTAAGCACGTTTTTGCTAATTACTGAATATTATGTTTTTTTATCACCGTTTTTTTAAACATCAATGGATTTTTTTGGTCAATTTCATTTTCAAATCATAATATTGACCAAAAATCCATCGGTGGGTGTTAAAAAAATATATTACAAAATTTGATGTTCAGTTTTGGTTACAATAGAAAAAGTATATATTATAAAAACATTCAATTATATAAAACTATTGATAGATATTTAGTCCCCTTTTCTACTATTTGCTGTGCCCTATTCAGGGTCCATAATTTAATGTACATTACGTTATGGTATGCAAATAAATGAGAATAAGGAATTGACAAAAACGTGCTTGATCCTTGGATATTTTTGACGTGTGTACATTAGACGTTTTTTATTCCATTTCACACAGAATGGGTACTGTGACATTTAAATTTTTACGTTATATGCATACTATTTATAACTAATCTTTCAACCAGGTTACAAAAAGAAATTGTAAATTTCTTGTAATTGACAAAAAACAACAACAGTTGTTGCAGTCCTAATTTTAAGTAAAAATTACAGAATATTAATTAGGTACTAAATGAAATGATAAAGATAACTCCAACTATTTGATACGTGTAATGGAATACTCATTCGATATCAATGGAATACACCATAGAATCGATAAATCGAATCGGATATCGTGTATCTCGCGTCAATACATATTTGCATACACCTTGTATATGGGACTGTTTTTTTTTGTCTTGTGTTTTTGGAGTCATTGTTCAAATTTTGTTTCCTTTGCTACTAATTTTATGCTTACCGCCAGCTAACTTTTTCAGTAATCATATTAATTATCTCGCAATAACTCTAGAATATGTGAGTACATAGAGATTTCACAAAACCATTATTCTAGGGAACTTTTTTAAATTAAGAATACAATAATTAATCCGAACAAAGTATATGTTAATAGTACGCCTTATGTCTAACAAAATAAGTGTGAAAATATATTACGTTAAAATCGTGAGAAAATTTGCCAAACATGTTCGGAATGTAATTCATTACCCTATTGGTTACTTTGTAGTGCTGTGTAGGTGTAAAATAGCCTAAGTTTTCCGTCCACCGTACGATGATCATTAATAGAAATCGAGCTCATAACAAATAACGTTACGTCATCAACTTCGACGAGTATCTTAATTTGTAGTAATAGTTCAATTTGTACTGCTGGTATAATAAAGTCACATGTGATCATGCGTCAAAAGTGTTTTTATTACTTGAAAATCATAAAAATGGTATGAACTACTTGAAACAAATTATGTATATGCAACGTTTTACAACTGTTTTATTTAAGCATAAAAAGTTATCGACTAATTTCGTACGTACAATTTTCAAACCTCATTTGCGCATGCAAATGAGGTTTAAAAAAAAACCCTTTGATGTAATAAGGCCACATCTGCATCAGATGTGGCCTTATTACATCAAAGGGGCGAATTCATGTTGACGCGAGTTGCTGTCTTCCCGCGCAGATCCTGGAGTTACCAATGTTAATTAACCGTGCTTCCATAAGTAAATTATAATATTAAGAGTTCAACTGATTAGATTTTATGATAGGGAAAATGTTATTGCAAAGACCAAACCAAAAAGATCAAAAGCAGGGCCCGACCAAAGAATGTTGTGGCGCATAAGCCTGTGAAAGTTTCGTCAAAACATTCTCCATGAACAAAGTGAAGCAGATTTTATTTGTTAGTGGTGACGGTGGATGGACAACCTTCAGCAGGCAATGGTGTTTCTTGTTGTGCGCCGTTTTGGACATAGATTATAATCATTTAATAAATAAACAACCTGCAAATAATTAAACATGTGTGTTGTGTAGCTTAGCACATTATCTTCTTCACTAGTCGGAGAGTTACTTTAAAAACAGGAAGTAAGTCTTTGAAGAAGTTGAGTGTCAAAAGGTCTTTCCTCTAATATGACTGTGTGTATAATTACCGTTATCTTTAATAAATAGCCAAGGGTTATCTAAAATTAACCGCATTATACAGGGAATAGTGCAGTAGGGAATTGCGAAGTTCATTGCTCAATATGGTAAGCATCGACCGGACTATGAGATCGGTGAGTATTGTGTTGATACCTGCGCCCGCGCAGTTGTGCAAGCAGGTTTAGGATTTTGTGCTAGTGCTAATGTTATAGGTGATTCTGCTAAGTTTATATTTGGTCAGTTGTAATTATATAATTATTTAGGTTTGCTGACAATAAACGGTTGAAATTGGTTAAACACGTTTAGTTTTATTTGTAATTAAAAGATATAACAACTCCCTAATATAATCTGTAACGTTAAAAGAAAAACTCAAATAAGGCATGACATTAATATCTTCCTCAAGATCGAGGCTA